AAACGCAAAAATAAAAGAGGGATATAATATGATAATTGTAACACCGACAATGACTCTGTAGGGTGGTAAGCTGGAACAAGGATCTCAATGATATTGCAGCAGCTAGCAGCTTGGGGGTTTGAATTCATTTGATGAGGCTTCCACTGGGCAATAAACTATTTAATGGCGTGCTATTATTGAGATTCACTTCATTATTCATTTTCATAATTGCTCCGTTTTTAATGTCTTGCCCTTCCTTCCCTTCAATTATTGCACGCCTAGCTCTTCCCCCCCCCCCTTTTCCCCCTCGTTTTAATAGAAGACGAGACAGAGACTAATCTTTCTCTAGTGCTGTGTGGGCAAAAGAGTCCATCTATTTTAATTATGGTCGGAACATACATGGAGTGAAGGTTGAGAACCAAACCCCTAATTGTTTACTCATAAATATTATAAACGAGAGCCTCAACAACTCACACACTACTTAAGTTAAGTTAGCTTCAATTATTATATTTACCTACGTTGTATAAATTTCATAACAAAAACACAAGTACTAATATAAAATGAATGATCTGTTAAATGAGAGTTCTTTTTAACGAGAGATCCTCTTGAATTTGTAAAATTCATTTTACTCGTGAGATTTTGTAGGTAGCTCCCTTTTATATAACATCGTACTTTCAGTGAATATTAAAAGGATAATTCATTCATAAAGATCAACTTGTTAAATGAAGAAACCCTTTAAATTTGTAAATCTCATTTCTTCACCAGTGAAGTTTTCCCAATGTCCTTATTATATATAGCTACAATTTATAATGCCCTTATTATTACTTACTCTAATTGGATAGGGAATTGCATCCCTAGTTTTACTACTTTAATTAAATTAACCCTACTATTGCATGAGTGGATCGCCTCTCGCTGGACAGTTCTGATTTGGTTTTCTGTTATCCAAGTTTCCAATATCCTTACATGTTCCTTAGAAATCTCTTGTTTGCCTTGTACTCTCAACCACCAAAATAAATAGTGCAAATGATAAAAAAAGAACTGTGAATTTCTATGTAAATATCCTGATCGCGGCTAGATATTCGTTAGATTTGATTTACAATTTTTTAATGTCTCGATTGCCCCAAAATACAAAAAAAAAGTGAGTGGCTTCATATGTGCTCCCTCCGTTTTCATCTGTTAGAGAAAAAAAAATATCACATAATTTTAAAAAATTAATTAACTATATTATTTACGTCTAAAAATAAAAGAATTAGATCACAATATCTTTTATTAATTGTATTAGCCAAGCCTTCATTAATTTTTTTATGATGATGAATAATAAAATTATGACGGGTAATTTCAAAAGTTTGTAATAAATGCTTATTAAAAAATGTGATTTTGCTTATATAAAAAAAAATTAAAAATGATAGTTTCTCTTATAAATAAAAACAAAGAAAATAGTTTCAATTTAATCTTACCGACTAACTAGACTATTTTAAAGTAGGATTTCCAAGTAGGTAATAATAAGACTGTGGTTGAAAAAATTATCCTTTTAGAAAATAATAGCATTACAAATTAAAGTGGATTATTTACTTCCTTCTTCCCACCAAAAAGGAGTATTTATTAGAGAGAATTAATATACAAGACTCGGCCATTCAATATAATTAATTGCTTTCAGATTTATTAATAATTAAATTTAAAAAAAGATATATTTATTTTAAATTCAGTTCATGAATTTAAAAATAATTAATTATGTTGAGTGAGAGATAAGAGTAATTCTTCCTATATTTTATATTCAGTTTGTATAACCAGATGATTCTAATATCATTGTTTAGTGTGCATCATGAGAGTGACAATTAATCTTTTTTTTGGGGGGGGGGGGAGTCTATGAGTAATGAGTCTATGACTATGAGAGACGAAAATGTGGGGTTAGATAGGTAGAATGTGGCATCAAAGTATAATGATAATGATTTAATAATTGGAGGATCAAGTGTACTTGGTCGCATTTGTTAGATTCATTATTTCAACGTTCAGATGTGTCACAAAGCGATATGGTTGTATTATGAGAAAAGGAGAGGCCAAACCCTTTGACGATGAAAGTTGCTTCTACATTTGCGCTCCTTCCTTGTATTCCCTTTCACACTCACGACTTGGACTGCCCTTTTAAAGCTTAATTCTAATGCTCCAAACTCTGCATGTACAGGAAACCCATCGAACTTAAACCCATTTTAATTAATTAATTAATTAAAGTAGCGGCATTCTTGTTTTTGACGACATTCATTTCAAAGGAAAAACGTCACTGTTCGGCCTACAAAACTGGAGTGAAATTTGACTTTGTCGTTGATGAAAGCTCATTACGAGGGATGAGACTTTCTACGTTATTTTAGTTCTTCTAGCACTGTGTGTCTTTGAGTTACCACTATTATACTTATTACTGTAGTTCATATTCTCTCTAAACCATGATAAAAAACATTTACCATAAATCATGCTTGAGTTGAAATATATGAAATTGAGTAGTTTTTATAATTATTTTTTAATTATATTCTTACTTTATCTATTTTTTAAAAAATATGATATATTGAAATTCCAAATGTCATTATAAAGACATTTATATAAAATATTTAACGAGGATATAATTAAAAAATATTAAATTTTTTGAGATATTAAAATTTTAACTATTTCTTTTTTAAAATTGTAAAGTAGTTATCATGAGTATCATATGTCGTAATAATTTTCTGTCATTATAATGTTCGTTAAAAGTTACAGTTAAATAGCATTCATGTCTCACATGTTAATGATGTTTACTTAAAACCTTGAATTTCCCGATGAATTAATTAGCCCTAAATCATAACCAATTATGAGGAACATCATCATAAATCCTTTGTCATATTGACTTTATTTGGAGCAATCCATTAAAATCGTAGCCAGAGGCATGCTCTCTTTCGCTTCTCCATAAAACTAATCATGACAGGTGTTCTTTTTTTTCAAGAGAATAACAAATGGCATACTATATTGGATGAGAAAACTGCATGTAATTTCCTATGCATGAAACAACCCAAAAATAGCTGAAAAACTACACAAACTAAAGGACCTTTAAAAAAAAAAAGTAAAGTTTGTCCGTTTAAAAATGATAACGAAGTACTGTGTGTGTGTGTGTGTGTGTAAATCGCTAATTAATATTATGTTCTGAATGTCTAATTGATCATTATTTTAAGCGAAAGGGAATAATAAATGATTACGGGTGCATGCCAATTAAAGTAGCAGTAATCATCATAGACTTGTGTTGCTCCTTTTGCTTTTACTCTCCAGATTCCATATCGGAACAGTACCTTCATCAACGTCAAGTTTATCAAAATTCAAATTTATTTATTTTTCGGAATAGAAAAAGTAAAAAAAATAATTTAAGTTTTGCTACTTTAGGGGACGTCCCCAGTGGGAAGAAAGATAAGCGAGAAATCTGATACTATAAGGCAAAGTCTGCATCGCAAAAGAGAAGTGGGACATGAATGCAAATGAAAGAGGAAGGGATGTCCGACAAGGAGGACGTGGAGTGGGCCACATGGGCCTAAGATTCGGTCCAATATGGTGGGCCCACTTGACAACCCACCCGTGAGATGGTAAATTCAGATGACGTGGAGCCCTGCATCTCTGTTCCTCGTGCTTATGGTTATGGCCGCCCCATCGTCAACGCGTTACGACTATGATTCTGATTTGACCCTCCACATACTTCTCTAATTCAATTTCTCTCCTTTTTTCCCCAGAATAATTTGGATGTTATAGTAGAAAATACTAAAGAGAGAATGTATTAAGCACAAGAGGAGGTTAAGGATGTCTTGAAACATAGTGAAAGTTTCTGCCAAAATGATATTTGCGGCGTGATGAAGCCAAACAGGATTAGCATCAATGAATCATCAGCGGGAAAGAGAAACACTATGCCTAATGAGTGGGGTCATGTTTGATCAGGTCTAGAATAGAAGATGGAGGCGAACATTAATTCAAAGCCAGAAAACGGAAATTTGGAATTTTTTTTTTTTGTTTAGAAAAAAGAAGAGGAATCTGGATGGTTCGTGAATAATTATAAATAAATTGGGAGGTGAAGGAACATGTTCAATAATGGCCAACAGAATCAGAGAGGGAAGCCATGTGCTACAGGGAGACAATGAATTAGGTGGATCTAAAAGATAGTACTATAATGCCGGCGATTCAGAGCTGAAGGAAATGAATAATAGAATAGCTTCAATAATATGGTGGTTCGGGTTTCCTCATTCTTCATTGCACCTCTTTCGTAGGATACAAGAAATCGTCATACCCGCCTCAATCTTCCTTGCACGCCTCTAAGGCAGACAGTCAATCTTGTTTTCACTCAATACGATGATGTAATTGTCCTGTCATTTGGACCCGTTTTCGCGTCACCGTACCTGAAATTTTCACGTTTTCTTTTAGAAAGAAAATGGAGTTGCTGTCATCAGTAGGAAACTAAAACTTTTGCTGACGATTTCAAATTGTATATTCTCACGTTCATTATGCTCGTGGAAGATTTTAAATGCTTCCCAAAAATAAGAAACCCAGATGGCTTAAAAATATGGAGTTGCAAAGCCATTGCCTTTTGGATTGACGCTCAGGCTATGGTCCAAATTAAAAAAGGCTCCTGGTTTGTGTTTTATTTAAGGCTTTAATTTTATTTCATGGCAAAAGAAAACCCCAGGCTGGAGGATTAACTCTGAACTCTGGCAATGAATTCGAAGAGACAGAATAAAACGGGAATCCACCTAGAAATCACATGAACTTTGGATTTTGGCTCTTCAAAAATTGTCAGTGATCAAAGTCACGGCTTGGCCTTTGAGATTAAATCAACATGGGAACTAAAATCATGAGTTCGAAAATCCATTCCCAGTTTGGCTCTCATCATACCCCTAAAAAATATAAACAACGAAAAGAGAAGAATAGCGTCACCCTCATAATAGCGTCACCCTCAGAAAGGGGCACTGGACCTTTTTTTTTTTTTTGTGTGGGTATAACAGAGAAATTAAAAAAAAAAAACCAAGAAAAAAAGCACAAAAGCTAGTGCATATAGCACAGTAACAATGACCTGGATTTTACTTTTACATTGATAGGTACGATTTGAACTTTAAACATGCATAAACATGCATATCAGCTTAGAGTAATCACCCTGCATATTGAAGTATAGATACAAGCGTCACTCACACAGCACTGACATCATGAAGGCCTCATCGCCATGCACGCGTGACAAATGAGGAGATTGACAAAAGATGATGATTCAGAACCTCAATCAGAAACTAAGTGAGATCCATCGATGATGCAACCTAAAATGAATACTTTCACCAAATTTGACGGTGTAAATTTCTCTGAAACTTCAAAAGGCCAACTCCAATCAAATGGGGTCAAAATTCTGGCCTCTCAAGATACACCCGCAATCACCATTTTTTCATCATCAGTCACTTGAATGAACAAGATTCAGCAACCGTTATCTTCAGGTCGTATAATTAGCCACTTCCAGGGTCTGTCTTATGTCACACCGGTCATCTTTCTCTTTTTAGCTAGCCCGCTTTGCCTCTGAAACCTCTTCCTCTTGGCTTGCTTCTGGTATGATTTTGCAACTAAGGAAGGTTGTTGTACAAGTGCAAAGCTTTTTGCTACATGCCCCAAGTGGAGTTTCTTGATCATAAACAACTTTTTCAGCTCACCACGATGGGCTGTGTAGGCACGGACCCAAGAGCAAAATCCCCTCTTGGCAAGTTTATCAATGTTGGGCTGAGCATGACAAGGTAGCTTTTAGTTTAAGGTACAAATGCAAATCAAAACAGCAGCAATATATTACTATAAAAATGAGGAAAAAATTACCAGCCACTCTTATTCCCAAAAAAAAAATCACATTTAGAGGTAAAAAGATCAAATGCACAGATCCCGTGGTCATTCATTCACTTTGTTAGATAAGCAAAAAGATGCAAGATTTATCAATCGATCATGATTGTCTCACCTTAAAAAAAAAAAAAAAAATCATTGGCCAACGCTAACACCATTCAACATTTGCAAATTTCAACCATGTCACACTTGAAGTTCTAGGACAAAAACTCATGAAGCCTAAATATTGGCTTTAATCAAAGGATGAATGATCTATCATCAGGAATACAAAATCAGTAGTTATGACGACCATCGCATGTAGTAATATGTCACTGAACAAGACTGCCAACTTAAAACAGGCTTCCTCACTACAGTTTTCTTTCAACTATACCCGTCAAGATTAATAATATGCTGTTATCAGTAATCTGTGCCAGAAACATATTGAGAAAACTCCAAGTCCCGTACATTCGGGTGAGAAAAAGCCGGCTCTCCAATGAGAAAATTATAAATGCTTGTGTAATTATGTACACCGCACAAAAGCTGTGATATTTCATAAACACAAACCAAATCCAGCAACAATGATCTGGAGTAAAAACTTAGATTACAAGGTTTCATATTCAAAATAAGAAATAAGTTAAGAGTCAACTTTCAAAGGATTATTAGATAAGTAGAGCAAGGGAATAAAATTATGTAAGAAAACTGATAGTGATTACCTTAGACGTGACGAAGGATTCAAGTGCCTTCTGGAGACAAATGATCCAGGGATGTGACTCAATGACAACAAAATTCTTGGTGTGCTTCTTTTGCCCATACGGTGGGAAACTATCTAACACTTTGAGGAGAGGATACTCAGTTAGTGATACACCATGTTTTTCCAAGTCCCGTAGATAATCTATTTCAACTGGCTGCAGAAATAACAATGACTCTCCTCTTTCACCCAGCCGAGCAGTTCTACCAACCCTGCATGATAAAATATCCAAACATTAGACGGTGTTAAGCCACTTGAAGTCATTTTGACTCTTTATTGGCTAGGTCCAAGTTCTCTAGTTATTCTAGTGGAACATTATAATTATCCAACCGTGAAGATTTAATTAAAAGCAGATTCCAAATCAATTCAATAAGATGTTTTAGTTGCACTCAAACGCCGTACTTACAACAAAACAATCTAAATTGGGTATTTCCTTTTTTATATACTCCCTCCGTCCCAAATTATAAGATAACATTGGAGATATTTTGTCGTTCCAAAATATAAGACAATTTGACAAAAAATAAAGTTTGATTAATGATGTTGATGTGTAAACAAGATGATTAGGGGATAATTAGACTATGGTTAGTTACCGTTAGATGGTTCATCCTAGGGGAACCTATGTAAGGGTCATCTATGTATTTGTTTCTAGTGTGTGAAATAATATTTACGAGTAGTATTCAGAAATTCTCTCTCTTTCCCTCAATCTCTCGTCTCTCTCCTATTCTTCTCTATTCTTTCCTATTCTACACATTAGTGACATCAGAGTTGGCCGTGCTCAGCCTATATGCCTTAAACGAGATCACAAACTGCAACGTACCATGACAGATAATAATGAAGACCAAATTCGTGCATTGGAAGATGCCTTCTCGAAGCTGGCTAATCTTCCTAGTGACGTGCAAGCTCTCACCAATCAGGTGGCTCAGATAGTACATGATTGTAATGATACTTCTGACGAAGGGCGTGCAAGCCACAACCATCACAAAGGACGTCCAAGACCAGAAAACCATGAGTATCAACCCCACATGCGTTTTACAAAAATGGAGTTTCCCAGATTCCAAAGAAGTAATATCTTGGGATGGATCTTGAAGTGTGCCTGAAGAGTGGAAGGTGCTTATGGCAAGCTTGCACCTTGATGAAAATGCGTGGCATCAAGGCCTCACCGCATTAGATGAAGGTGGCCGATGGACTTGGGAGGAACATGTGGAAGAATTAAAGCATTGATTCACCTATGAGGCTCCTATGGAGGATCTCTTGAAGCCTCATCAAATAGGTTCTCTTGAAGAATTTGACGATGAGTTTGATACCATCGCTTGCAAGATCAAGCTTCGAAAGAATACCTCGTTCAAACGTATACAGTGGGCCTTGAGGAAGAATTTGCAGCTCATGTTCGGATGTTTAAACCAATAATGTTATTCAAGGCAAGAAATATTGCACGAAGTGAATCGCCAAAAAGCACAGTTGAAGATGCATGGCATGAATTCTAGGCAGCAACCGTTTTAGTGGGTTTGAAACTCAGAGTCGAGAACGCAAGGGGATGTCTTTGATGTTTATCCAAGTGAGCAGAGAGGGATGCAAAAACTTCATCTAGCAGTGTTGGGTCTTCTTTTAATAAGGGTAAAATGGTCCAATCTCCAAATACTCTTTCTTTTGCACCCAAGACAGCTTCTTTTGCCTCTTTTTCTTCTCAAGCACCAACTCCAGCAATCCGCGAACGCTAACCCCCGAAGAAGTAAAGGAATTAAGAGCCACAAATCTATGTTTCTATTGTCGGCAACCTTTTTCCAAAGATCATATATGCCCTCAAACATAAAGGATGCAGTTGCAACTCATTGAGCTGGAAGATGAGGGGTTCAAGGAAGCTGAAGATGACACAAGTCAAGAAGTTGAAGTTCTAGAAAAATTCGAATATGTACTGGACCAATCTAAATGTTCGCAAATCTCCCTACATGTAATAGAAGTAGAGCCAGTAATTCAAGTAGGCCGGACTTATTCAGAACAGGCTCAATTTGGGCCAGGCTTAAAGAATCCTATCCTCTCTAAAAAGCCCATATAACCAAGCCCAACCCTACCATCTTCAGGTTTCAGGCTTATTCGAGCCAGCTCGAATATTCGAAACTTTTTAAAAATATTTTTTTCTTTATTTTTAATCAAATTTAATTTTAAAATAATTTTGTTAAGTATAAAATATTATTTTAACTTTAAAAGAATAAAATAAAAAATAATAACTTATTAACTTTGTAATTAAATAGCTCTGTTACTGTTTTGTTGTATTATGTACAACTTATTCGTAAATGTTTCCTTTACTTGTAAATTAATGTTTTATTTGTTTAGATATTGCTCTTATCTTGGTTATATAAAAATATTTATATATTTTAATTAGATTATATTATCTTAATTATGATCAAGTTAATCTTAATTCAATCATGTATAGACCACTAACTTAAAATCATTACCCTAATTAGTTCAAAGTTTTTAATAACTATTGGATAAATTGTATTTTTTGTTTTTAAGAATATGAGAAAAATAGCCATCATTATATTATATAAAACAAAATCATTTAATTATGAGTAAAATACTATTTTTTAATTTTTTTCTTTAACTTTTTATATTATTTAACCCCTACATACAATTACAAAGGGTATTTACTTTATTTTATTCTTAATTTTTAACTAACTTTAGTGTGGATGATAATAAAATAATTATGCAAGAATATTGTTTTATTTATTATGTTTTTCTAGTAATAGAGTCAGAAATTCGTACATGCCCAAATTTTATTTTAAATTATTTTTAATTTAAAATTAATTATTTTATTTTATAAAAAAATATAAATATAATTTTTTGGACAAGCAAATGATGTATACGACTCAACTTTTTTTTGAAAAAAATTGAGTCTTAAAATATAAAAATCAATATTAAAATATATTTTAAATATTATTTTGAGATATTTCTTTTGATTAAAAATAATAAAAATATGAAAATAAAAATACTTTTACTTTTTAAAAAAAATTATAATAATGCACTCAAATATATGATATTTTAGAATAAAATGATATAAAATTTAAACAATTAATTAATATTTATTATATTATATATATATATTTTTTAAACTTATTTTTCTATTAGGGTATTCGAGCCAAGCCCGAACTTTATCAGGCTTGGCCCGAATTTTCTCAGCCTATTCGAGTGGCCCGAATAGGCCAGAACATTAAAAAATTATCATTTTTCAGGTTTGGACCTAAATTTTTCGAGCGGGTTTGGGTTGGCTCATCGAGCTTGGCCCAAATTACCCGCTCTAAAATACAAGGGAGTATATGGCCCTCTGCTATGAGAATTCTAGGGTACATGGGTCGAAGGTAGGTACAAATTCTCGTTGACAATGGAACTTCTCATGCCTACATGGACTGTGACTTGGCTAGGAAGCTTGGTTGGAAAGGGGATTTCCAACCTATGGCAGAAGTAGAAGTGGTAAGGGGTGGAAAATTAAAAGTTTATGGGATTTTAAAAGGAGTAAAGTGGAAGATGTAGGCGGAGGAGTTCAAAGGAGATTTTTAGATAATGGAAGTCAAGACCTATGACATGGTTTTAGGTTTATCTTGGCTTAAAACCATCCATCAGGCTCATTTGGATTATGATAAATTGTCTATGACCTTCTGGTATAATGGAAAAATATGTAAATTGCAGTCTCAAGAATTAATAGGGGGTAAAATTGTTGACTTTAAGAAGATTGAAAATGATTTAGAAGCTGGAGGACAGATGTTTATGCTGCAATTAGTGGAAAATGAGGATGAAGGGCTGCGTTTTTTTCAGTTACAGGGGGAGAATGGTTCTGTAAAAGCTGTTCAAGGACTGTTGCTTGAGTTTTCAGATGTATTTAAGGAGCCTAAATCTCTTCCCCCTTTGAGAGAGGGTCACAACCATCCTATTATTCTACAAGAAGGTTCTAATACAGTCAATTTAAGGCCGTATCAATACCCAGCCGCTCAAAAGAATGCTATTGAAGACATAGTAAAAGAGTTGTTACAATTACAAGTCATTCAAGAAAGTAGTTCGCAATTTTCTTCACCAATTGTGTTGGTGAAAAAGAAAGATGGATCATGACACATGTGCATTGATTATAGAGAACTTAACAAGAGGACAATCAAGAAAAAATACCCTATTCCACTTGTGGAAGAGCTTTTGGATGACTTAAAGGATCCTAAATGGTTCACTAAGCTGGATCTAAGGGTTTGTTATCATTAGATTCAAATGAAGCTTGCAGATATCTATAAAACAGCTTTTCGCACTCATTCAGGCTACTATAAGTGGTTAATGATGCCTTTTGGACTCACTAATGCACCTGCAACGTTTCAGGGTGCCATGAATGGTAAATTCAGGGAGTATTTCCACATATTTGTTTTAGTTTTCTTTAATGATATTTTGATTTATAGTCTTTATTTAGAATCTCACACGCGACACTTGTGTTTGGTTCTGGAAATTCTACAGAAAAATTGTTTTTTTGTGAAGGAAAGCAAGTGTACCTTTTTTGCAACACAAATAGAATATTTGGGACACATTATAAGTTGAGTTGTCTCAACCAATCCAAAGAAGATCAAAGCAGTCATGGATTGGCCCGAGCCAACTACAGTGAAGCAACTAAGATCAGTCTTGGGACTTGCGGGCTATTATAGGAGATTTATTAAGGGTTATGGTTCATTAACTAGGCCCCTAACTGAACTACTAAAGAAGAATAATTTTCATTGGTCAGAATTGGCTGCTGTTACATTCAAAAAGTTGAAAGAAATGTTGGTGGCATTCCTTGTTCTTGCTCTTCCAGATTTTTCTCAAGTGTTTGTGGTTGAAACTGATGCTTGTAGCTCTGGCATTGGTGCTGTCCTGATGCAAAGGGGTCAACCTATTGCCTTTTTCAGCAAGGCTTTTGCTCCTAGGCATCTGAATCTCTCTATCTATGAGAAGGAATTGCTGGGGGTAGTACAAACTGTGGAGCATTGGCATCAATACCTTGAAGGAAGGAGGTTTATCATTAAAACTGATCAGCAAAGTCTTAAATATTTGTTAGATCAGAAGCTTAAAACAGCATTTCAAATGTATTGGGTGACCAAACTTATGGGGTATGATTATGAAATACATTATAGAAGGGGCAATGACAATAATGCAGCTGATGCTCTTTCAAGAATGCCTAAAAGTGAGGTTTTTCAAGTGTCTCTTCATATCTGTTCAGATTTCCTTTTTTTGGAAATTCAAAAGAGTTGGGATGATGATGTTCATTTACGGGCTTTAAAAGCTCATTTGCAACAGCATGGTGGTGTAGAAGGTAAATATTCTTGCGATGGTCAGTATTTAAGAAAGAATGGCAGATTAGTGGTGGAAATATTCCTAGTGTAAGGCAGAAAATACTGGAATGGCTTCATGCAAGTCCACAGGGAGGACATTCAAGGGTTTAAGCTACTTATCAAAGAGTTAAAAAGTTGTTTTGGTGGCAAAAATTATTTGAAAATATCAAGGAATTTGTGAAGCATTGTGATACTTGTGCAAGATGTAAGTCTGAATCAGTGGCTTATCAAGGGTTGCTACAACCTCTACCTATTCCAAGTAGAGTTTGGGAGAGTGTAACTATGAATTTTATAGAAGGGTTGCCCAAGTCAAATGGGAAATACACTATTTGGGTGATCATTGATCGTTTTAGTAAATATGCACACTTTTTGTCTTTATCTCATCCTTTTACAGCATCTACCTCAGCATAACAATTTTTGGACCATGTGTACAAATTACATGAAGCACCGGTTGAGATAATCAGTGATAAAGATCCCCTCTTTATCAGTAATTTTTGAAGGTTTTGGGGGCCGAACAGAAGCTTACCTCCTCTTATAACCCACAAACGGATGGGCAATCGAAAGTGCTTAATCGCCGTTTGGAAAATTATTTGAGGTGTATGTGTTGGGAAAAACCTAAGGAGTGGCACAAATGGCTTTCTTTGGCGGAGTGGTTTTTCCAATCACACTTCTACAAATATACTCCTTATGAATTGTATGGACAGGTTCCTGCTATGCATGTTCCATATTTGCCTAGAGATATGATAGTGGAAGCTGTTGACAGAACTTTTTCAGTAAGAGAAGAGACTTTAGCAATGGTGAAATACCATCTCAATAGGGCTGTGTATAGAATGAAGCAGAAAGCGGATTTGCACAGAAGTGATAGAGTTTGAGGTAGGAAAATGGGTATTTCTCAAATTACAGCCTTATCGTCAGATTTCTACAGCCTCAAGAAGCTCTCAGAAATTAGCTTCAAGATATTTTGGGCTTTATAGAATCTGTAAGAAGATAGGTGCAGTGGCATGTAAGCTGGAATTACCTCCAGAATCAAGGGTTCACTCCACTTTTCATGTCTCTTTGCTCAAATTATGTCCTAATCCTTCAGTAAAGCAGCGGCATCCCCCTATTGATTGGCCAGAATCTCCTTCAGGATCATTATGGAAGTTCTTGTGCAATGGAACAGCCTTCCACATGAAGAGGCTAGCTGGATTTCTTTGTTTCAGTTGCAGAAACACCACCCTACTTTTGTCATTTCTAACCCTTGAGGTCAAGGGTTCTTGAGGGGGGGTATTGATGTGTAAACGAGATGATTAGGGGATAATTAGGCTATGGTTAGTTACTGTTAGATAGTTAATCCTAGGGAAACCTATATAAGGGTCATCTGTGTATTTGTTTCTAGTGTGTGAAATAATATTTCTGAGTAGTATTAAGAAATTCTCTCTCTTTCCCTCAATCTCTCGTCTCTCTCCCATTCTTCTCTATTCTTTCCTATTCTACACATCAGATGTTTTTCTAATATTACCCTTAAAGTAGAAAGAGAATTAAAATGATTGTAGATTTAAAGTTATATTACATGAAGAATATTTTTGACAGTTTATACTCTTATATTGAAAAAGTAAGTTGCTAAAGTGTCGTTATTGAGCTTTATTGGTATGCGTAATCTTATATTAAATTGTTTTATAATTTGGGACGGAGGGAGTAAAATTTTGATGAAGGAAAACAAAAATAGACACGGTCAAGCATGTCCCAAAATTGACATAGCAATTAACAACTACTGAAAAGAACACTGGCACCCCCCAAAATCTTAAGAAGGACAGGTGGGGATAACAAAAAAGAAGCTGAACTGGAATGATAACTAGATACCTATGCACATATTCAGTGGCTTCCCCTGGAGAATCGTATTGTATAATGCATCTGACTTTTGGAAAATCCAGCCCTCTAGCAGCTACATCAGTGGAAAACAGCAGAGCTGATTTCCCTGTTTTAAACGACTGAAAAGTTTTCCTCCGGTCCTCCTGATCCATGTTCCCATGCAAACGAAACACTTTGCTCCCCTGAAACATCTGTCTCGCATCTGCTTCTGATTGTGGATAAGAAAACTCGAATTCTCTTAACAGTGAAAAGTGAAAGTCCACTGCATCGCACGTCGAAAAGAATACCACAATCTGTGAAATAAGTAAGTTAATGATGTGGCCCGAGAAGCAAAAGCAAAAACTTTAATAAAGCATCCAAAAGTGAAAAGCTATAATTCATTATGCTAAACATTACTTCAAACAACCAATATAATATATATTTTGTTTACAAAGAATTGAAACACCAGCTCTACAAGAGTTTCTGTCTTTATCTAGACAATATTAACACTGGTTTATCTCATGGATAACCTATCTTAAGTTAAAGTTATAGCCAACATCATGCATCAAGATGAATCTTAGAGATCCAAATTCCAAACCAAGGATGTGATAAAAATGATATAGAGGAAGTGTGGCAGAACAAGAGGGAAGGAGATTAAGTGGAACCTTTTGTGAAGCTTCCCTTTCAGAAAGATACTTCAAAATTGAAAGAAGAACAGCAAGACGTGTGCCGCAAGGTACTGCAAAATAATTCAATAAGGAACTTAACATACTACAATAACTTAAGGAAATTCATTGTCACAAACCTTTAATTACAACATACCTTTAACATATCTCTGAATCAATTGTGAGGGAACGTTATAATCATCAGCAGGTGTGAGCAGCATGTTGCTGGGATACTTCCCTTCATTGTCTTCACTCTCCTCATCAGATTCTGAAGAACTACAGCTCTCAATCGTTGAACTTGGTTCTGTCCTTTTGCCATCAAGACCAATCATCACAGGATTCTCTAGACTAATTTTAGCAAGATGATTCACTTTTTCATTTAAAGTAGCTGATAAGAGCAAATTCTGTCTCAGAGCTTCAGAGTTCCTTGAAAATGCATTCTCTCGGTTAGCACCACCTGTTTTGGTATCTAAATGACCTAGTATTTCCTTAATTTCCTTTCCAAATCCTAATTCCAAAATCCTGTCAAAAAGTATGCAGTAAGCTAACTAAAGTATGACAAACATAGAAAAGATTTTACAAACAGTATCAGCTTTCTTATGACAACATATGGTGTCTATTATTGCAGTCATAGATTGAAAACCATACCGATCAGCTTCATCAAAGATTATCCAGCGCAAATTTGTGTACAAGAATGATGATGTGTTCTTCAAGTGATCTAAAAGGCGCCCAGGAGTTGCTACAAGAATCGATATGCCTAAAATAGGAACAAAGGTTATAAATACACTTAATTATGGTACTCAAGCTCCGAGCTTTATTAGAAACAAAGGACTCCTCATACGTTGTTGTGCCTTTTTCCAACAGTCAACATGGTTGAAATTTCATTCCACAAATTCACCATGGCATTTAACATTTTTCTTGGTTTATTTGCCCAATTCATATATTTTAATACAACCCTCTCTCCCCTTTCCACCCACCTTTTGGGGGGCGGCATTTGATTATTGATTGCATACTCTGTTACCTACTCAGACTAGATTGGTAATACATCATGACAAGAACATGTTACCCATGAAAATGTTATAAGCTAGAAGGAAAGAATTTATAGATGAAGTGCAACAAGGGGTTGGTGATGAATGCACATGATCTTTACCTTTGCGCAACCTGGCCTTTTCTTTTGATCTATTTTCACCACCCATTATGTACCCAGGTACAATCCAGTGAAATCGATGCAATAACTTTTGAAGAACTTCATAAACCTGCAAACATAGCTCCCGCGTTGGTACAAGAACCAACGCTATTGCCAATAAATCAATCAATTCTTTAGTGTAGTTCATACAGTTTGAACTTATGATAACTAGAAAGACATGTTATGCTTCTTAGCACCACAAAACGATGTAAAGTTCTTTGTGGGGGAAAATGCAGGCCAGTAAAGAGTTATGTTCAGTGACAACGTCTATGAAACAAAACGGTGTTCAAAACTTTTTTTCTTTATGACAAACTATCAAAAAGTCTAACAACCTTTTTCTCTAAAAAGCCCAACAAATGTCCTTGATAACAAATACTTAACATGAACAAGTGTTATTCTCAATTAATTCCTATATCTGAGGTAACATGACATGATTGAGAGATATTGGCCCGCACAAGAGAAGAACGCTCGCAGATTTTAAATATACAAGCGTCAAAAGCGCAATGCTGAACAGTAGCTTTAAACAGGGAGGAAACGCTGCACTTGCAATATGTAGATACCTTGCAAAATATAGATATCTTCTAATTTTCTATTAAAAATAAATACCCACCATATGTTCCATCAGACCGTTGGATTCTATTATCATAATTCTGCAAATGATGAATAATTGGAGCCAAGTATGCAACAGTCTTCCCGGTGCCCGTGGCAGCATTAACGAGACTGATTTCTTCTTAAAGAAAACAAATTCACACTAGTAAAATGCAAAGGGAAGAAAACATCCTAGTAATCTAGTATAAAAGAGAGAGAATAAAATTTAAAGGGAAGGATACACATGACGCCCTGAGAGAATAAAAGGAATGGCTTGGGCTTGTATTGAGGTTGGGACTTCAAAGCCCATTCTTCCTGTAAACAGAATTCAAGCAAAGTTTTCACTCTCGAAGCTAATCCAAGTTTTAAAAGGCAGTTAAAATAGGAAACAAATCCAATATATCAAGGAAAATATGAAAAGCATGGCAACTTCTAAAACCAAATTTTGGGTTAATTTTCATACAAATTTAAAGCTTTCCATCCAGAATTCTCCTGGGCAGTGGCAGAAAAATTCAAGCACGTGAGAGACAAAGAGGAATACCCCGGAGCTCGTCGCATAAGGTAGGATGAAGTCCCAGGCTTGAGAAAGAGCAAGAGGCAAAAATATTGCCGTCTTTGATTTCATTGTTCACAGCCTCCTTCTTCTTAACCTTCTTTTCCATAACTGCTTCACTTGAATTTGCGTTTTTGTTCTTTCACTTGTGGTCGAGCAACTCAATGCCTCTTTTGTTATTTAATAAACTCAACTCAACTCAAAAATAACTCCTCCTCCTCCTTTCACTTTCCTCCTCCTCCTCCTTTGTTCTTCTTTCTGCGGGGCTCCAATTTCCTGGATTATTGTGACCGAGCTTCTTATTGGGCCGGATCAATATTCACGAAAACCACACTGAAAGCCCTACTAGGTCCCTTCGCACTGCATATCTGGACCCATTCATCATGTCCCGTTAGCAATAATTTTGTGTTTATGTCCTGGCCCAATTTAATGATACAACATGCAAAAGACATGAGGATAAGTCTTTGAATTTTATATCAGGCATTAATTTAATCCTTAAACTTGATTTAATACAACTTAAGACTTATAATTTATTGAGTTAACAAACTACATTATGTTGTATTGACTCAGAAAATTGTAAGAAGAAATTGTTTCGAGTCAAGCATTATAAGGATTAAATTTTTAGATTCAAAATTTTAAAACTAAATCGATAATTAAAAAAAGTTTAGAAATTAAAAATTATATTCTATTAGAAATATATTTTATTTAAGTTCTCAATGTTGATTTTCTTGTTCCTTGTTTTTTTTTTTTTGCCCAACTTAACCGTGATTTTCCAACCATACTGTACGTGTTGTTAATTCTTTATGAAGCCAATTAAACTCGTGAGAAAAAAGAATTAGTACGTTTAAGAAAAAACTGAATTCATTTGGCAGTGTGAATTTTTAATCATGAATTAGAATGCAAGAAGAGATGGGTGTATGTGGATTTCAATTGATAGCAATTGATTATAAAAAAAATGATTAATAAAATATGAAGATGTTTGGATCACATTTTTTTTTAAATTAACCTTAATAATATTTGAATAATTTTCCAGAATCAATTATATAAATAAAAAAATGTGAAATGCTCAAATATTATAAATTGATTCTCAAATGGAGGAAAAAAAAAAGCTTTTTCAAAATGAAATTTCATAAATTAAATAAAATTTTGCAAAAATCTGAATGTTTATATAAGTTTTTGAAAAACTATGATTTTGATTTCAGAATTGATTACAAATAAAAATTCAAACATGATAGCAAATTTAAACTGTTAGTCAAACAGACCTAATTTCTCAAGCATTCCAATTCCCAGTATGTTTGTGCTAGGGTGGGTTTCTCTCTACTAGCCTTTCTCTTTACTGCAAATTTGAACGTTGAAATTAAATTTATACTTTAAAAAAATTAAACGTCTATAAACATGATTTTAAATTTTTATCTTTTTACTGATTAATAAAAATAAAAATTAATCTCAAAGTTTCACGTGGCCTGAAATAAATGGTGCGGCTTGGGACGTTCCAGTATTTAGGTAGGCTGTCGAGATTAAAAATCGTTTCCCCATCGGCCGGTCAATGTTGTTGGGGTGATTTGGAATTTGGATCCTCAGCCGGTAGTGCAATTTTTTTTTTTTTTTTTTTGAGGGTTAAGATCCCAGAAATTATCAGCTCGTTTTCAGCAAAGAACTCGGATTGGGGCACATTAGTAGTATTAATCAGCACAAATTATTTTTTTTAACAAATTATGCAAATTAATACTTCTTTTATTTTAAATTATATAATATTTTTAAAAATAAAATCTTACATATAAATAAAATTTATTAAATATATTTTATAATTTTATTTTTTAAAATAAAAATATAAATTTTTTAAAAATATCTATCATTTAATATATTAAAGCATAAAAAAATTAAAATTAAATATAAAAATAATATAAAAATTAAGGTATTTAATAAAATTTTAATTTTTTTAAAATATTTTATATTTTAAAGTAAAAAAAATTTAAAAAAATATTTTATAATTTGACAGTAATATTTTATGGAAATAACATTAGTTTGACATTAAATTTCTTTTGGTTGCTTCCAGAACCAGTTGCCCTGGATGACGGAACTTTGATATCTTGGCTCGGGAAGGAGACGAAAGCTTCAAACTCTGTAAGCTCGATAGAAATGAATTCCTCGACCTTCCCTTACGTGGAATGTATAGGTTTCAGTTTTCATTCGAAAAAACAATGAATTCCTTTTCGGGTCTAGGATTTTGCATCAAAGTTAATATTTGCCTAAAATTAGTAAATTAATAAAGATGCATACAACATTTCCGGCCTAGGGTTTTGCGAAGCAACTGACTCTTCAGTGACTTGGTTTAATTTTCTGCGATAAAGCTATCCGTGGATCCTTGAGACACAATATGACGACGAGAGAGGAGGTCGTGGATGTAGGTCACTTGGAGAAAAGTCTGTTGGAGACTGGCGCCCATGAAGAGAGCGAGGCTAAAGATGATGAAACAATTTTGTACACTGCATCTTTTGAAGAGATGGAAGAAAATTTTGTGAAGCATCAAACAGCACAATGGGTTCTTTACTCACTGTTATTGATCTTAGCATGGGGCATTGGGCTGCTCATGCTGCTGTATCTGCCAGTCCGGAGGTATATACTTAGGAAGGATATTCGCTCGAGAAAGCTCTTTCTCACTCCAAATGCTATTGTATACAAGGTAAAACAGCAATCTTCAATTGCCTTTAACCATATCCGAATATATTTGCAATGTGACATGTTTATTCCTATAAAATAGGTGGAATATTATGTATTTATTTTTGGGTGTAATTTCTCCTGATCATTTGTTACTGCGTAAGAATGCATGTATGGATCTCATGAATTCTTATCGTTTTATTTACTGCAGGTCACCAGGCCTGTGCCATTTCCATGTTTTGGGGTACTAAAGAAAGAGAAGCATGTTCTCTTGCGTTCTGTGGCAGATATTGTGGTTGAACAAGGTGCAGTGTTTTTATGCATTATTCTGAATTTGGCCTATTCTATTTCTGTTTCTCAATCTTTTTGGCAGGATTTATTTCTTCTAAATTCTGAGACATGACTACACTTACTTTTAGGATATTTGCAATCCCTGTTTGGTGTCTATTCTCTTAGAATTGAAAACGTTGGTGTAAGAAGACCACCCAGTGATGATGTTAAAATTCATGGTATTGCAAATCCAAATGCTTTCAGGAAGGTATTCTTCAATGTGTGACCCACCCTAATCAGTTGTTTTTCTTCTTTTTAGCTGCCACTTTTAGATTCCAAGACGGATTATCTGAATGACACTTCCTTTTTCATCCCTTTGATACATTTCAGGCTGTTATGATGCGTGTATCAAATATGAGAAACGAAATCGCATCAAGACAGGCTTCTACAATAGAAGATATTCCATACCTGATGGTAGGTTATTCACCAGACTTGCAGTATTATCACTAGTCTACATGGCAAATGCTTTAATTTTTGTATTTTTTTTTTATTCTGAATGACAAATAATAGTGGTTGCCATGAAAAACACCCTGAGGGTATTAATTATGACAATGGATTAAAACTGCGAGTGATTGTGTTGGTGAATCAGGTCATATTTGGTTACTAGAATGAAATGGAATGGAATGAATTGAAAAAATAAAGACAAAAATAAACTAAATCACCCTTATTTTCATGGTAAACATGATAAAACTTATTAATATATATGATAAATGTAGGATTCATCACACCCTCAAAAACTTATTAATATATTAATTATGACAATGGATTAAAACTGTGAGTGATTGTGTTGGTGACTTAGTGTTTCCTTTGTCCTTGTAGATGTCTCCATCGAAGTCACTTAGACAAGATTCCACTCCTTCAGGGGATCTACTACTATTGCAAAAACTAGAGGAAATTGGAAGCTCGGTCAAGGCAAGTTTTATTTGCCAAGGACTAATGATATTATATTAACGTGTGGATGAAAAAAATCAGGTTTAACTAGCCTATGACAGATTATAAATTTTAGAGGAGGAAAGCAAAAAGATTTAGTTACTTGTATAATTCCAGGGTCAACTTATTTCTTTGCCTAAGCGCTAGGTTTTGATGTTTACTACAGAGAATACAGACATTAATCGAGGAGCAACAATCTCAAACAACAGAATCTATTGATTGAGGTCAGCTGGCTAGTTGTTAATAATCCTTATTTTTTATGGTGATTGTAGCATTATGCTGGAGTATAGATTCATCTTGACACAAATATTGCTAGACAGGAAATATTTCAGTAAACATGCATGCTCTCCTGCTCCACATGGACTCGTCTGCAGTTAGAAAACATTATTGGCGGCCTTCTACAAAGCATCTTTGTCTTTCATTTCCCCGATTCTTTGATGGCTATATATAGTTTTAGCTTATGTTTAACCTATAAGAATTTACATGGAATAGGGTTTGCTCACAAACACTGTCGTTACATCATGTAGCAGTTGCATTTGGAACTTAATTATGTCATGAATGCTCCAGAATATTTGGTTTTGTTTTTATGAAACCTCTCTTGTATTCATATGTACAGCGATCTTAAAGCTTTCTAAGATAGAAAAGTCTCGAGATTGAAATTTAAAAAAGACAGGGTCTTCATTTTATTTTATTTTGGTGCAGGAATTGAGATTATTCTCTATTCATGACTTCTTCCAGAACTGTTCAGGATCATCATCAATATCAGTGATACTTTCCTAGCATCTCCTGGAAGCACCCTATGCGAAGATGGCTATTCTTTGGTTTAGCGTATAGCTCTGAACTGTTTTTTTTTTTTTTTGGGTTAAATTCAGGAAAAAAAAATGTATATCTTGATTCCCAGCCCCCCACCCACAAAAAAAAAAAAAACAACGGGAAAAAAAGAATCGCGTGTTCATTGAAAGAACATATCCTGCTAAAATTGTTCATTGTATCTTATATGTTGCAAAACTACCCCCACCTCCCATTTTTTCGTTCTTTGCTTCAATCGGAAGAAGAAAAATGAAGACATTCTTCCGGATAACCAGCCACGACCTTCCGGCGGCACAAGTTTTATGAGCATTAAATTGCATTTTTTAAAAGAATTAGCAATTTCCTTTCCCCTTCCCTTGAAATCAGTTCAAACTCCATTAGGACCCAAGAAAACAACAGAATTTAAAACACCATCAATGGAGCAAGCAGAGACCATGAGATGCGTACTCCTCATCTATCTTCTGATGGTGATAGGCTACATCTAATGTTTATGTGAACTAGTGTTGCCCTCGGTTTTTTGTTTCTTCGACGCTGTCTCTTAGAGATAAAATATTGGGGGTACAACACTGCTTCAAGAGAGCATTTCTTAATCACATGACATGTATGACCGAATAGCAGCCGGTCCTGGAAAACCTAACTATACCAGCTGTAACTATTGTTTTGTCATTTCACAAAAGCTAATAATCCGGGCCCCTAAATTAAACGGGCATATGATACATGGAACAACTCGAGCTCAAGCTTGTATTATTATGCTGGCTTCACTTGGCTGGTGGGTTAGCCAACTGTTGTAGCTGATGGACAACATGAGACATTCTAGGACGCATCGATGGGACATGCTGTGTGCAAGAATAGACAAGGTCAACCACCTTCTGGATTGTACTAGCCTCAGGAATAGCAGATGTGGAGGAGGATGATGATATATGAGGATCCAACAGTTCTGGATAGCGATGTGATTGCACTAATGGTGTCGCCCATTCAAATATGCTCTGCCAACCCACTGAATCCACTGCCTGTGCAGGTCTACGTCCACTCACTATCTCAAGTAACAAGACACCAAAACTGTAAACGTCACTCTTTGTTGTGAGCTCATTCCTATACACAAACTCTGGAGCAAGATATCCATAAGTTCCACCTGCCATCACAGTCCTCTCATGCATGGCTTCATATGGCACGAATTTGGATAGACCGACTCCCATAAGGTGAGCTCCAAACTCCTCATCCAGCAGCACATTACTGGCTCGTATATCCCGATGAACAACATGTGGCTTCACCTTGTCATGCAGAAAACTATTGAAAAGAAAGGAAAAACAAGTATCATAAGAAGACAGAACCCTAAAAGCTGGTACCATTCCTTCACTAATCATTTTGTAAGTCATAGGGGTATACAATCAAGAACCAGATGCTATCCATTACCCGGGACAATTGAGCTTGAACAAAGTACATTGTAAATTTATCTAACCCTCCAGAAGAAATTCCATGAAGGGATGGTGCTAATGGAATGAAATATTAACTAAATGAAATGATCTCAGGGCTAGATGCATAAATAATCTCCATATCTTTCATATTACTAAACGAAAATGATATGTGATGATAGATTGAAATGAGAAAATAAATCAATTTTATCCCAACAAAGATGAAAAAGAAATTCATATCTCTAGATGGAACTATTGAATATCAGTATTCACAAGCATTCAACTATGTCCCTTCAACAAATGGACTTTTCCGCGCAACCACCCTAAAATTCTAATTAACATTAAAATTTCATACTCAATGTCAGCAGCAAATCACATGGACAGATTTAAACCAGCTACTTCGCCTACAATTTGAACTTGGTTATATGAAATATCCAAAATTGGCGTCTGAATGATGGTGCTTACTGCCTTGAAAATGTAACGATGAAAAAGTGAGTACCCAGTGGCTTCATTTTTCAGCAAACTGAAGTCAAAAGCAAGGTGGTTCTTTACCCAGATTATTATTATTATTATTATTATTATTATTTACCGCAAGTTAAAAATATCACATCATGCATTCAAATATGTAATGGCCTATTAAATCTGAGATTACATTACACTTTCTACAGAACTTGTTCTTTACCTAGATTTCATAACCCATCACAGCAGTGATACTATAAAAAATAAAAATAAGAAACCACCAAAAATCACAAGAATTAGAGCATAACCAAGCATTAAATGTTCCGAAATGAAAATTACACCCCTACGGATAACCGAAAATTGCAGCCTGCGTGCAAAAATAGCAAAAGAAAGACCATTAAATAGGAATGCAGAATGAATTATAATGGATGCATACAAGGGGCTATATCACAGAGACTTGATGCCTACAGTTTTGCTTTGTTAGAATGAAGAGAAAAGTTGGAAGGACAGAAAATGGGAGAGAAAATGAAGGGAAGAGAAAAGTGGAAAGAAAATGCTATCTCTTCTTACATTTGGATCAACAAAAGACAACAATATTATCCTTATGGAACTCTTGTTCAATTTTATCTGGCAATAAATTGAAAATTAAATTAAAATTACACCATAAAAATGTAAAATTAAAGTCAAATTAAAATAAAATTATTCTAATTTCCTATTTTAAAATCAAAATGTTCATGTAAGATTATATAAATAATAAATAAAACAAAATTTTTTATGGGTGTTGCATTTTTAATAAGTTTTTGACCCACTTTTATCAACACTCGATTAATTTTACTACATTTTGAGTTTTAGTTAATTTTGGTCTTTGAGAGATTTGTAATCAAGTCAAAATCTAATTTATTGGTTCCCTAATCAACCCACCTACATCATCTGATAATAAAAGCACGTAAGTGAGTGCGTGTGCACACACATATATCAATCCTCCCTCCTTGTCACATCATGTGTATAACGCACATTTGGAGAAGAGGAAGAGAAGAGGTCCCAAAGGTGAAGAGACAACGCAGAACTGTGGCAGAGAGAAGAGGAAGAAAACGAACTCAACACTGACAAAAAAAGAAAAGAAAAGAAAAAAGGAACTCAGCAGAAAGGCATTTGGTGCTTGCAGGATACAATCAGAAGGAGGGCAACTTTGGAACAAAGATTTTTTCTCCAAAGTCTCTCCACTCTTGCAGAGAAAACTAGCAAGTCCCACATGTTTTTCTCCCCCATTTTTCTCTCTCTCCTATTTTTTTCCTAGTTTTCTTTCCTCCCAACTTTCCTCCCATCCAAGCAGAGGGTTAGTTACAGCCCAAAATGCACAACTGGTATTGCTACAAGATTTCGGTTTTTCCACCTAGAATGCATGTCATTGACCAAATAAAAAACTGAAATATGTCTTAGAAATGATAAAATATATTCTAAATTGACAACATGAATGACAAGATTAGGCCAAAAATAAGAGTTTTGGGAACATACGCAATTCCTTGAGCAAGTGTTGTGGCAATTTTCATTCTCATAGTCCAATCTAAGCTGCGACCTCCCCTTGGTATATGATGCAGCCATTTGTCTAAGGGGCCATTAACTACAAACTCATAAACAATGTAGCGGTCACCATGATCATAGCAGCATCCCTTCACAGCCACCAAATTAGGATGGCGAAGTCTTGCAACCCTACCCATTTCAGAATAGAACTCCTTTTTCCTCTGAAAAGTTGACTTCTTCAATCTCTTGACTGCAACCTTTGAACCATCAGGTAGGACCGCAATATATGTACCACCAGTCTTGGCATCCCCAACAAGGCGGTTACCTTCACTGAAGTTCTTTGTAATCGACCTTAATTCCTCTTTGGTAAAAACTTTCCATGAAGGAGGAACCAACTGAGAAGCAGCTGGATTTGATATTTTTCTAGATCGTTTTCTCTTCTTGCTCCGTTTATGTGCAAGAAGCCACACCACAACAGCAGATGTTGTGCAGAGGATCAATGCACTAACCCCCGCAAGGATGATAAGATATTCCCTGTGACAGCGCATGTGGTAACATTTTTTATCTGAGATCAAATAAAAGGAAAAAAATATAGTCAATAGTCAGCAAGACTGATAAAAAGATAAGAACAAATTTAAGCAAGATAGAAGAATAACAAAAGTAGCACAAGCAACATATTTCTCAACAAAGAGGAAAAAACAAACTTCTTGGGAGCAAATGAAATAGTTGGGGAATCATAACACAGAATTCTAAATGGACGCAATAAAAGAGAACTAGGAGTTATATACACTGCAATGACATACCTATATCAAGTACACACACTGAAGCATTCAGTTTGTCACATCTATCACTCATAAGAGAATCTGAATGATTAGTCATTATTGCACATATATTGACTGCACCTTTAGTGTTGCAGGGTAATCCAGTACAACTAGAGGGATCAAGCGACAAAGGAAACATGGACTTGTTCCACTGAGATTTGTCAGACCACACCCACTCATAACCAGCTGTAGAGTTAATTCTTCTTCCTCCAACCCAGCAACTGTCACCACATAGACTCTGAGCAAAGTGTAGCTCTGGAAGAGATATCAGAGAAGCTAAATGTCCACCACATTTATTACAATGGCTTTCCGAGTCATTCCACGATTGAGGCCTCCCAACATGGTAAAAGCACCTGGCTTTATCAGGGCCAACAACCCAACCAGCTGGGCATGGATCTGTCCAGGGGTGGGAAAAAGAAAGGGCATTTAAATACTGAAACATGAGTAACCGGATACCACCAAGACATCATGGTGTTTACCGAGTCAATTTCAACATAGTGAAAATAGAGTTATGAAAATGTGAATTAATTCACCTTCGGATGAAATGGATACTAAGGATTACATGTTATCAAACAGATGGATCGTGATAAAATTAAAGGTGCCCTACAGTGTAATCTAAAGCGCCATTCTCTAGATTTCTTAACCAATATTGGATAGTTTAGCTGTTATGCCTGCAATTAAGCTCCAATATAATTCATATAGAAACTATTTTGAGTATGAACAAGGTAGTGCACTGGGATAACGTGTCCATCTCCCTCTTTTTTTATTTTCCACCCTGAATGAGGAGGAAACCCATACAAATAAAGAAGATAAGAACTCTGTTTGACCAAATCAATCCACTCGATACATCCTGACGGAGGATCAGTGAATGACATAGTGTGTGTGAATATCGTAAGTTGATCTCCCAAGTCTGTTCACTTTTCATCTCAAATTTTCCTATTGTCGCACTACATGCACACCAAATTTAATTCTGAGACTATTCTATTGACGACGACGTCCACACTCTGAGAAAATAGATGTGAATACAAGAAATTAGATGAACATGGGAAAGAAATTTAAAGGAAGTAGAAAGCAAACCTCCGATTTCTCTATTCTGAGGATCGTTTACGGAGCCACAAGAGGTCTCATTTACTGTCTAAAAACGAAAAGAAGTCTCAGTACAGGGGTTCACAATGCAGCTCAATTAAACTTGTAAAGCTTAATCCAGCAAGTCAAAATAACATGATATTATTTTCTTACCACATTGGAGGCCCCTGCATTGAAACCAATAAGAGCCGCCAAAAGCAGAAAAAATTGCAGAGCTATCAACCTGAGCTCCATCCCACTGATATAAACAGCCCCGAAATGGGAACATTCAGATACTAATTAACAAAAAAGAACCGTGGCATGTTGGGAGGGATGAGGACCCTTGCAGTCAGCAACCATGAGAAGGGTAAAAACGGAAGAAGAATATGAAGCTGCAGTACTGAAAAACAGGTGCGGCTTCAACTTAAAAAGGATAATACGTAGGGTCAGAAGGAGGCACTGAGCCTCGAGGCTGGAAATGAACGAAAGAGCGCAAATACTCCCCCGCAGACGACTTCTCGACTTCTTCAGCTGCTTCTTCTTCTTCCGCTTCCTTGCTTTTTCTTTTTTTCTTAATAAAGAAATTTGATGGGTGGGTGGGTTGGTGGAGCATTTAAGAGGGAAGATCAATCAGCTTGATGGACTTGGGCTGATTCCAGCCGGGATGTCGGCCCATGAACAGGAGATAGGCCGCATAGTGGGCCCAATTGTTTGTTTGTTAAATTCCACCCTGATGTGCAACGGCCCAAAAAACATGGGACAAAACTCATGGTAAGATGTGCCGTTCGTCTCTTTTTGAGGCCAGTAAAGAAGGACAAGAGTTCTGATGCTTCTTTGCTATGAAGATCAACCTCAAAAAAGCCTATCATTGCATCAAGTGGGAGTTTTTGCGCCACGTACGTGCGGAGGTTGGTTTGAGTTTTGAATTTATTCATTTAACTATGAGTTGTAATGATGAAGTGTCTCAAGGAATTTTGTTCCGCTTCAGGGGTGAGTGTCAATAAGAATAAATCTTCCTTCTTGTTCTGCATAAATGTAAGGCCATAACTTTTAGGGAAAATTAAATGAATTGTTGGAATGCAAATCTCTGCTGATATTGTTGACGAGGTTAGAACTAAATTGGCAGGATGGAAATCTAATTGCTTATCTACTGCAGGAAGAGCTATCCTTGCCAAGTCGGTGTTAAATGCCATCCCCTTGTATCCAATGCAAGTCTCAAGGGTTCCAACCACAATTTTGTAATGAAATTGAGAAGCTATAAAGGAACTTTATTTGGGGAAATACCAACTCAAGAGGAATCCAACCTCTTAGCTGAAACAAAACCATTTTACCCAAGGCTTATGGAGGACTCATCAGTAAACAAGGCAATACAAAGCTTGCTTGGGGACTTGGCTCAGGCAGCAAAGGGTTGTGGGCTGATCTACTGCAGCAAAAATATGTGTATAGATTAGAAGATGATCTACTGAATATTAAGAAAGGCAATTCGCAGCTTTGGAAATTTATCGTCCAACAAAAAGATCTTGTGAAGGAGGGCACGAGATGGCAAGTAATAAATGGTGAGTCGGTAAATTTCTTTGATGATTTTTGTCTATTTTCTGATAAAAAGATCAAGGATATGGTTTTAAGACCTCTAAAAGATGAGGAAGGAAGCTCAAAAGTAGCTGAATGGACTCGTTTTGGTTCATGGGACTTTGTCAGACTTTCTTTTATTGTTTCATATGAGGTCCTCCCTAAACTTATCTCTGTCATGCCCCCTTCTCCTTCTGCTAGGTATGTTTACCTTAAAAAAAGTTAAAAAAGTGCTTACTTTATGATAGAAGACCCATCACTAGATCTGTATAGTCCTTTATTTAAGAAAATCCAGAAATGGAAAGGGGTTGAATGAATTCATTTCTTCATTTGGCTTACAGTTCACAATAGACTGTCATTCCATTCAATTGAATTGGGATTCTCCGGATCTAACATGTCTCTTAGGGGGAGTAACATGAAGCTCAGAATTTGGGGTGTATTTAAGACTCCCAAATAAAAAGGATTACCCACTAATGCACAGAGAAGCTCGTGGGCTAATTGTTCTTCTTTTTGCTTTGGTGTGATACTGAAGTGGAGGATGTACTAAATATTCTCCGGGATTGCAGTTAAGCACGATTATTTTGGTATAAGCTTGTACCAAGTAAGTACTATTCTCATTTCTTTTCTGCTTCACTAAGTATCTGGGTCGCTTGGAATCTAGAATCAAATTGGCATTCTAGACACTCGTCTAACCGGTATCTGATTTGGGGATTGGTATGGAAATGATGGAAGTTTTATGTTTTTAAGGATGATACTGAGTTAATTAAAGGTGCTTCAAGTAATACTTGCGTATAAACTTGGCAACCTCCTCCTCTGGACAGGGTTAAAATAAAAACTGATGGAGCAATCTCTTCTTCCATGAACAAGGCAAGGTGTGGGGGAGTTTTGAGAGATCATGATGGCTCATGGATAGTTGGTTTCTCCCACAATCTTGGCTGTTGCAACCCCTTTGAAGCTGAAGAACGGACTGTCTTAAGAAGCAATAGACTAGTATGGGATATAGGCTTCAAGAATGTCATAGTAGAGGCTGATTCTAAGACGCTGGTAAAGCTAATTAATGGGTAGCATCAAAGCCCAATCAAAGGTAGTTTGGTCCTACTGGAAATTTGTAACTTTAACTCTAATTTGGAAGTTGAAGTTTAGCATGTGTCAAGGGAGAAGAACAAAGCGGCAGATATGCTGGCCAAAGAGGGAATCTCTTCTTCAAGTCTATATGACTTGGTGCCCCCATTTTTTATAGATTTAGTACGGAAAGAGAGTCTGGGATTTCAATGCCCTGTTAATGTTTAATTTTCTAATGTAATCTGGGCATTGCCCTCTCCTTTACCGAAAAAAAAAAAACATATTCATTTCACGTAGGAGGAGGGAAAAAAGAAAACATTAGAACAACACCATATCAACCTACAGACAAAATCACCATCGCTAGCTAACAAACAAAACGATAAAGGCTGGCTAAAAAATTTGATGCCTTTCTTGTCTGTCAAAAAAGAAAAGTGCCTTTGTGGCTAGTACAAAAGTTATTCCACTGTTATGTGGAACTATAGGCAATAGCCAAGAGAAGTAGTGCAACGAGTTCTTTTTTTTTTCATGGTCATAGTATTCATGGATTTCGGTTACTATACTTAATATAAGCATTGAGAGTTTGTATCATTTAAATTGTTGAAATTTAAATTAATGATTTTAAATTCATACTCCACTTAAAAATAATAAATGAATGAATTTATCTAAACAATTAATATGAACTTTAACGACTCAAATGTTACAGGAATATAATGCCTGCAATCACTACATTCAAATCTTATTATTCATGTGTATGTAACCTTTTTATATGGTAAGGTACATACTTAACAATTGTATATATAGTTTATTTTTATGTCTTTTGAAGACCATTTCAAGATAGAGACAATTTCAAGATAGTTAATTGACATAAATTGATACCGGTCAATATTTAAAATTCATTTATCCTTCCATTTTTTTTTCTAATTTTACCATTTAAACAATATTTCCATCTATGTCATTTTGAAGTTCCAAAATAGTAATATTTATTGTTTTTTAAAATTATATCTCTATCTTCACTGACTTTAGTAATGGAGAGAGCATACAAAATAAAGTAAATGTATGCTAGAGAATTTGAAAATAAATTATAAATTTAAGAAATAAAGGCTCTAATCATTGCTGAATATTATTTAATTTTATTAGTCAATTTTTAAATTTTGAATTTTAACTGACTAAAATCTTTAATTTTAAAATATAGATGACATTTTTGATATTTTTACACATTTGTTATTTTTTTTATTTTATTTTATTTATATTAATTTTTTGAGTCTAAGTTAGAAGATATTAATAAAGATGATTTTCATCGAGGAGTGAGGATATATTTAAAGATCAAACTAATAATCAAATTAAAAAAACTTATGTTAATTATTTATATTTATTTTGAGTTTTTAATGTAATTTTTAATTAGAGTTATTTAAAATAATTTTATGATTTTTTAGGTTTTATAAATTAAGCCACACACTCGGATTTGAGTGGAGAAGGGACGCGCGACTTTTAAATTTTAATAAACAGGGAGGAATTGGGAAGACACTGGCCTGACTTTAGAATTGAAAAGGGGAACAGAATTGGCGGCGTAAACAAGAGGGGAGGAGCAGATCATTCCCCATCGTGTCCTTCAATTTCTTGAGACGATGGCTCTTGCTCTCACTTTCATCTTATATTATTTGATTTTTAATTTTATAGAGGGTTAATTTTTTAACATGATCTATTGTAAATCATGATTTTAAATTTTAGTCATAGAATTTAATATTTAAAAAAGATTTTATTTTAACTTTATTTCAATTTACTCTTCTTCTTTTTATCTCTAAATTTTATGCTTTAATTGTTATTATTGATTAAAATAGCTTTATTGTATAATTTTTTAGTTATAAATTTTATCTAAGATTTTGCTTTCTGTAATCAATTGATATAACATTTGGCTTAACTTAAGTGATTACTCATACTTTATTTTTGGTGTGATTAATTTAGAACAATTGTTAGGTTATAGGTTAAGGATTAAGTGAGATTTCAATTAATATATAATTTAATTTATTATTTAATTCTTAAATGATTATTTGGAAAACATATAATAAAACTAGAATAATAAAGTTAAATAACATTAATTTATTTTGTGGATAAGAAATGTTAAGTTTAGGTGATTGGATTATGATTAATTGTGCTTTTTATGCTTAGTAATTTTTTCAGTTGAACTTACTTTAATTATTTAATTTTTAATTTTTAATTTTTTTATAAATTAAAACCTCGCATTTTTTTAGCTTTTTATAATCTTCATTTTTTATAAATTGAAACCCTCCATTAACTCTTAGAGAGACAATATAGATTGTGTTTTGCTGCAAAATTTAATTTTTATTAATTTTAATGTTATTTGACAATAGTGCCATGAATATTATAGAGGTGTAGAACCATCCCTCGTTGAAATTCTTCAAATTGAAGATGCATGTTCCTGAGGAACATAAAAAGTCCATTTTGATGCGCCTTGCTTATGGAGCTCTTGCTGACTTGTTTGGATAGAAGTTAACATACCCTTTAGATGTTGTTAAAAGATAGATGTAGGTTGGCAACCTACAGAATTCGGTTCATGGTGATGTCAAATATAAGAACGCGTTTGAGGGACTTTGGATTATTGTTGCTAATCAAGGATGGAGGCAATTTTTTGCAGGCTTAAGCATGAACTACATTAGGATTGTTCCGTTAGCAGCAGTTAGTTTCACCACATATGACATGATGAAGGCTTGGTTTGGCATAGCCCCCTAACAGAAGAAATCGTCATTATCAATTTCCTCCTCATAATTGTTCACTGCTCATGCTATCATCGAGAATTCATTTTTTGGTTTTAGGCCAGAATGTGTCCGTTAGCAATAGTTACAATCTTACAGACACTAATTACTAATTCCATTATCAACTCACATGTGAAGCAAAAATAACACTTTATTATATCTCGGGTGATTCGTGTTACAATGTTTTCTACCTTCAACATTAACATTTTTATTGTAATTTCTTAAAAAAAATCTTCATAAATAATATATCCTAATATTTTTAAATCCATTTGTTGAAGTTTTGTATAATAAACAAAAGAAATGAGTGGAATTCTTATTTATAAAAAAATAGTACAAGGTAATCTTCAAACAGAGCAACTCTACAAAAGCTGGAAAGGACCATCCAAGAAAGGTGAGGTGCGGGCTGCGGGGTTGGCATTTTGGGTCCATAGCCAATATTGTATCGTGTTGTCCTGATGTCATCACAACATGGGCTAAAGTAAGATTGAGATTGGTTATAGCACGGTCCTATCAAAGCAAAGAGGATAAAGGGATAAAAATATTTATAAAATAAATACTCAAGAATACCCAATATTTTAAACTAAAAAAAAGATATAAATACTCATAACATTATATAAGTGGGTACAAAAGTGATCAAATAGTTAACTTTGACTTAATGCTGTTAACTTTAACCGTTAAATGCTGATTATGGATGTGAACACCGTATTTTGTCTGGACATTTTTTAAATTTAATAATAAATAATCAAAAAATATAAAAAATATAAAAATAAAATTTAATCCTTTTTTAAGATTATATTTTCAAAAAAAATCTTGCTTAAATTTTAAAAAAAATCTTTATCAAATTATCCCAACCATTCAAAGATATTGGGAATCAATTTTTTGAGACTCAATTATTTTTAAATTTCTCTCTTTAATCTTTTTGTTTTCCATTTGAATATATATATATATATATATATTTTAAATTAAATTTTTCTTTCTCTTCCTTAATCTAATTAATAAAAAAGAATTAAAAAATGGTTAAAGTAATGTAGGACATACACGTATAAGAAGGCAGAAGAGAAAAGAAGACATAGAACACACGCACCCTCAGAAAGCAGAAAGCAAATGGAGCCATGCATAGAACGCATGCATGAAGAGAAGATACAGAGGAAAGCAGACAGCAGAGCAGAAAAAGAAACCAGATGCGGAGAGAACAGACTCAGACCAAATGCAGAAGCAAAAACCAAAAAGAAAACAAAAACAGAAGAAGCAGAGACGTGCACGACAGAAGAGAAAAGTGAAAGAACACGTACACACGCTTTCGACCGGCAGAAGAAAAGAGACAGAATCGAGACACATGCATGCATGCAGCAGACGAAAACACGTGAAAAGCTTCACTTTGCAGAGAAGAGATGCACGTTACAGACTGCAAAAAAAGAAAAAATAGAGCAGAGAGGAGCGAGTCCGAGAGAGCATAAAAGAGAACGAAAAAACAAATAAGAAAGAACCAAAGGAAGAGAGGAAAAACTGGAAGAAGAAAAAAAACAGCAAAGGAAGAAGAGAGAGTCCAAGAGGGGACGAAAAACTAAGAGGAAGAGAGTCAAAGACGCAGGAAGGAGAAGAGGCTGAGAGAAAGAGCAAGAAAAGAATAAAAAGAGAGAGCCAAAGCGATAAACAGAGCGAGTCTGAGAGAGGAGGAAAAGGAAAGGGCACCAAGACGTTACGGCAGACGCAAAAAAACCAGAGGAAGAAGAAAAAACTGGAAGAAAGGAGAGAACACAGACTGCATGCACGCAGCAAAAAATAGATAGTAGAGAACGAAAACTGGAGGAGAGAGACACATGAAAACGAAGCAGAAAGCAGAGACAGAGGACGAAGAGAAAGAAGGAGACCGAGAATGGAAAACAGAGCATGGGAAGAGAGGAGAACAAAGCACAGAAAAGAGAGGAAAGAGAAACTAAAAAAAGAGAAGACAGGAGGAACAGAAGCCTAAACAGAAATGAAGAAGAGAAGGGAGCGGGGATGATAAAATGAAAAAACAGAGCATGAAGAAGGAGCAAAAAAAAACTGGACGCAGACGAAAAAAAAACAGAGAGCCATAAGCCCGAAGAGACCGAGATCAGAGAGGAGGAGTTTGCTGGACAGAAGTAGTGAGACAGATCTGGGACGTGCTACACACAAGTTCTTGCTTCTATATTTGAAATGCATGTGTTTAATTTCTGTTTATTATTCCAAAAATAAATTTCATGTTTAGATATCTGTCCCATATTTTTAGTTCCCAAATGAAAATCAATGTAATTATCATTTTTTTAATCAAAAAAGAGAGAGTGTGAAAAAGAAGGATAAAGAAATTGTAAATAATAATTTTTGCTTGCTATCATAACTAAGCTTAATTTGATTTTAGGCATAACCTCATTTCAAATAAAGAATTGTGTAATTATTCAGCAAGGTCTTTGAATGTATTTTTAGCATGAAAGGGTACATTAATATGTATGGGCATGATTTTTTTTTCATCTCCATTAGTCCTAAGGTCCTTTACTTGTCAATAATATTGCTACACTCATATCGTATGGCACTCTCCATCATGATTACATGTACGATTTTATTTATTATGACAAGCCTATTTTATAAAAGGCAGGGGGAGAGAATTCGATTCTTACCCAATTGAAAGAAAAATGAATGAAATGAATAAGAGAAATTTATCTCTAATCATTTACTTGTCGTGTGAGATTTTAAGAATTTTTGCAAACATTTAAAGCATCTCATACCATGTAAATCAATAAGAATTTTATAGGTATAGAGATTCAATTTATATGTATAATCAATGGTTTTAATGAT